CGCTCTTTCGTAAGACGATGGTCATGTGCCATAAATGCAGGACATCAAAGAAAAATAGGAAGTGGTTAGAATTTCTAAAAGGGTGAGTCTCAATTCTAGTTTTCTAGGACGGTCAATAGGAACTCCTAGAGCTAGATCCTAGGCTCCGAAGGAGGAGAAGAGAAGACCTCACAAAAATGAGGTAACACCAACCGAGTAGAAAAGATGAAAAAAACCCTTTTCACAAAGAATTAAATGTGAAAGAGTTGATGTCGTGTCGGTTAAGCATTGAGTATAGAAAAAATGATGGTTCCTTTGAAAAGAATGTCAACTTACTGAATTTTGATGGTCGTATGAAACTAAATAAGTTCATCGAGCAGCTCCAGATAGTAGAGGAGATTTGAGCACAGAAACATTACAGCGAATAAAAAGATCAAGTTAGTTAATAGTTATTTGGTTAAGAATAAAAGTCTCTCTCCGTAGTGGGAGAATATATAGCACCTGCGCCAATGTCAGGGAAAAAACGATCATAACTTGGTCTAAGATGAAGGAGATGCAGTACAAGTATCTCTTAACGCACTATAAATAGATATTTGTTTGAGATGAATTTGAATAACTCATATTGAAATATGAGTTGGCAGAGCCAAAGAAAAAAACTATAACCCGGTATCTTGGAGGATTGAGAGTTTCTATTTGAAATGTGTTGCAATTATAGTCCTACTAGATCATGAAAGATGTTCAACCCTTAGCGCTAAAGGTGTAGAAGCAACAGAATAGCATTAGATCCACTCCACCCTTCAAACAAGGTTTGACCATAAGATTGGGCAGCAAGAGCACACCGACCAAATTGTCACAACTAGCCACTTGTGAGGGAAAGCTGGCACTAGAAGAAAAAAAGAATTGAACATATCAGCATGCCCAGACATTCCCAGTTAGAAAGTATTCGAAGTGTTATGAATATGAATGTATTGCATCCAACTACCCAAAGAGGAGAATGATTTCTTTCACAGAGCATGCTGCAATGGAAAAAAATGATAGTGAAGACTCGGGAGATGAGGAGAATGGGGAGAAGTATCAGCTCCCCACGAATGGAGGTGAGATACTTGTGCATCATCGAGTTCTTCAAACCAAGCACAAGAGAGAGAAACAGTGGATTAGGAATAATAATTTTGACACGCATCCTATAGTGAAGGGGACAATTTGCAGCTTCATAGAGATGAAGCTAACTTTTAAAGGTCGTAATTGAGTCTCACTACCCAATTCTAGAGGCTCGCTATCCAAAAGCATTTCTAGCCATATTTTCGGGCTTAGTTGAAAAAAGGAATGAGATCAACGTCGATAAGAGGCGTCTGCTAGAATTCTCCATTAGAAACAAGCTACAAGATTAGATGTGATGTGATGTCATGCCTACGGCTGCATGCATATTTTGTTGAGTTGATCGTGATAACGTGATAAGAAAAGCATTTCATGATAGTCACAAAACCACCTACTTATTTACCAAAGATAGAAAGTGTATTTTACTTTTACCCTTGAAGTAGTCAGTAGTGACGAGTAGTCAAACAAGAAAACTATAGTGTCTTCTGTTATAATTTTGTTTTATGAGAGAAGCACCAATAGGACTGACCTTGGTGATGTTGGAGGGCAAGAGACGGATGAGTTGATATTTGAGATTGTCCACCTCTATTGGAAGAGTTTCATGGTGTTCAAACTAATAGTCAGTCATCCAGATTATCACCATACGAGAGATTCAGTATGATATAGATCTCATCTTAAGATCAATGCTCATTAACTGACCAGACTATCGAATACGACCATCAGAGTATGAGAAGCTACATTAGTAGGTTAAGAATATAGTGTCCCCGAGATAATTCTTGGGAGCATCAATCTATTTGTTGTGCAAGCTTTTATTATGCCTAATTAAAATGAATCAAGGTGTAAGTGCATTGATAGCATGGCAGTGAACAAGATCATCATTAAGTATCAATTCCCCATTCCAAGATTGGATGACTTTATTAAATCAATTGCATTGAGCTAGGATCTTTTCCAAGATAGATCTATGAAGTGGATATCAACAGATTCAGATAAGGCTCTGTGATAAGTGAAAGACCGTTTTCAAGATGCAAGATGAAATGTATTAGTGTACAATCACACATTTTGGCATGTCCAATGCAACCAAGCACTTTCATGAGGCTAATGAACAAGAATTTTTGAGTCTTTATTGAAAAATTTGTAATTGTTTACTTTGATGATATTCTGAAGTACAACTAGTCAACGGAAGATCATTTGCAACACTAGCAACTGATAGAGTTCTTCATACAAAGTAGAACTATCATTTTCTGATACCACAGACGTGCTTCGTGGAACAACATTTTTTAGCTTCTAGCATTGAGATGGACCCAACAAAGAAAAAGACTATCGTCAATTAGCCAAATCCACAATCATTTATCAAAGTACATCAATTCCACGGACTGGCTTTTTTTTACAAGAAGCAGACAAATTTGCATATTCAAGAAAAGCACATGCTAGTTTTGATGCCATGAAGAAATAGGATACTCACGCCCAAGTTCTAGCTCATCCAGATTTCAATCAAAATTTGAAGATGGAGTGAGACATCATCAATATAGAGATTATTACTATGTTGAATCAATGTGGACATCCCATTGCCTTCTTTAGTAAGATGTTGAATGACTCCATGCAAAAATATTCCACATACAATAAAAAGTTTTATGTCATTGAGGCAGCCCCCAATCATTGAAGTCTCTATTTACTAGCTAATGATTTTACTCTCTACACTGATCATAAAGCCCTGAGATTATTGGAAAATCATAACAAGCTACGAGGAATACATGCCTCTTGTGTTGAGGTCCTCTCTTCTTTTCATTTTATACTCAAACATAAAGCAAAAAAATAATAGTAATATAGTTGATGCAATGAGCTTTTATCACTTAAGAATCATTACTGTATAGTCAAAAACAATAGTACTGAAGTATTTATACGTCACTAATGAGGACTTTCAAGGGATTTGAACTCGTAGTATAGACAGACCATATGAGCGGTATCATAGGCCCGATGGTTATTTATTCTTCCATAATAAGTTGTGCATTTCCAGAAGTTCAATCAAGGTGGATATCTAATAAAAATATTACAATAAAACAATGACAGGAATATTTAGTAGGGATAAAACTCTCAACTTAGTGACGAGAATTTATCTTGGCCCAGATTGATATGACATGTAGAGAAGCATGTTAGATAATGCACGGCTTGTCTCTTAGCTAAAACTAGGAGCAAAATATGGATTTATAAACTCTCCAGCCTTCTTCCAGAGTTACCTTGGGTGATGGGAGCATAAACATCATTATAGGTCTTCCACAAACCCAACGGAGTAAAGTTGTAGATGGTGGTTATGGATTGCTTCTCCAGGAAGACACTTCGTACATTGTCACGAGTCGATTGGCGATTCAAACATTGCAGATTTATACTTCAAGGAGATGGTTCATCTTCATAGTGTGCCGGGACCATCACCTCAAATAGAGTTGTAAATTTTTTTAGCCACTTTTAAAAGATTTTATGAGACATATTGGGTACAAACTCCAACTCCATTCAGTAGAGCACCAGCAAACCAATGGAAAACATAGGTGGTGATCTTAGCTTGGAAAATCTTATGAGATGTTTTGTCAAAAAAATATCAAACAATTGGATTCTATTCCCCCCTAAAGTTGAATTTGCATACAACAAATATGTTACTTAGATCACCAACCACGGTTCATTCATATCATTGGAGGAAGTGACAATTTTGTCAGCTATTGAGATTAACACTGATGAAGAGAACAAGGTCAGAGAAATTCAAACCTTACATGAGCATGTGGAAGAAAATTGTCAAGTAGATTACCTAGTATCATAAGCGAATAAGTGTAGAAAAGCTATTGTTTTTAAAAAATGTGATTTAGTATGAATCAAATTGATGAATGAGATGTTTCCTAAAAAGTTCTTTTGAGAAGCTCGAACCTAGAACTAACAGAACATTCAAGATTGCAAAAATAATCAATGACGATGCATATAAGATTGACCTATCTGATAGCTACAACATCTCTACTATCTTCAATGTTGTTAACAAGTGATTATACTACTAGGATTTAGAAACTTTTAGAGGATAACACCAAGACTCCTAACAGAGGAGAGTGAAGCAAGAGTGAATCTCGACTACGCGGAATCGAGATATGGGATTTAGGGGAATTTCCGCCACAAGCATTCTCGTTATGAGATTTTCACACCCCACAAGGTCGGCCAGCTTTTATGGGGCCCTGGTTATATTAGTTTTAACTAGAATTAGGGTTTAACTTATGTCTTAGTCTAAATATGTTGCTTGAAACAAGGATATGGACTTTTTCTATGGTTTAAGATTATTTGGAGAATCTTCTCTATTTTTTTCCTATCCGAACACTTTTAACATTTTTTAGTGACGAAGTTGTATCTTGATGATAACAAGTGATGGATCCTCTCCTCCATCCTTACATCACCTATAGTATCATCGATGGGTGTTTCCACGTCTTCCTCGTCGGCAGCTATAACAGTTTTTTCTTTTCAAATCCTTATCAATTCTCAGAATTTTCCTTCTTATTAGTCTCCAAACATTCTCAAAACCACTTTCGATCTGCATACACCTAGGAATTCTAGAACGATGTCAAATGATCTCACACCCAACATAGAGATTACCATATAATATGTTGAAGGTGTCAATAACTGTCGGCGTGACTAAATTTTCTCTATATACATTTAATAACATAGGTAAAAACTACATTAACAAAATTAAGTTAGAGATATCAAGAAAAATTGCAAATCTCCCAAACAAAAAAAAAGCTTCCATCATAATTTTTCCAAGAACTTTTTAATTAGTTTCTCAAGAAGAAATAATCGGACCAAATGTACCCTTAAACTCTTCAAATAGTTAATTTACATTTACGCCATTCAATTTCCCCCAAACCAAAGAAACTTGTGAATTTGTTATATCTGACATCTCTGAACATTGACATTATTATCTAAGGTTATTTGGCAAAAACACGAATTCTAAACCTTAAATAAATTTTAATCTCAAAAGAACATAAATAATGACAATGTTGAAAAACAATCAACACCACTATTCAGCTCCATTTTCTGAAGAATCCATCAAACGATTGAGCACATGATGCAATGACCATGATGTTGTTATGCATATAACGATAACGATTCTAGTCCTTCCAATTTATCACTTTATCTGTATTCCCTACAAGAGCATGAAGGGAAACAGATGAAGAATCAACACTGAAGAACTGTGGCCCAACGGGATTGGAATAACAATTGCAAATTATCACTTATGTTACCTCTCCTGTGCTTAATTAAAAAAAACAATTCCCCTTGCTTGCATGCAGGAACATAGATCTGAAACTTTCCCATCTTAAAAAAAAAACTAACCTTTATATTAAATGAATGGATTCTCGTACAAACATGAAACAACCCTACAAATAAAAAAAACTCCAACCTTTATATTCCTAAACAAAGACACACAAGAAGAGGGAAAAGCTTTAGATCCGATGGTAAACATTAGGGAATCAATTGAATGATGAATGGTCTAAATTGAAGCAATGGAAAGGAATAAATGATATGAATAGCCATTGGCATTCAAAGCAATTACTCACAAAGGTCTCATTTATTGGCATAACCAAATCCTAAGATCAGCATGTTATAATGCAGAAGTGAATGCAAATCTATAGATTAAAAAAAATAGAATTTTATAGATCTACAAGTAACATGATTGTTACTATTAGAGAAAACCTAAAACAAAAAAACAACTTTTTTTAATAGGAAAAGAGGGTTGTAGCACATAAAAACTGTAAATAACATCAACAAAACACAAAACCACACGAACGGGCACCTCGAGAATGCATCCCAAGTGCGGTGGAGGTTGGTTGGAAGATGGGGCAGCAATCCGGAAAGGTGGGACAGCAGCTAGGAGTAGCGGGGCAACAGTTGGGACGACAGGGAAGTACATGACGGTGGCCTGTTGACTGCTGAGAGGGTTGGACAGTGGTCTGCAGGGGTGTGCAGGGAGGAGTTGGAGGTGATTTGGTGGGCTGAGAAGCAGCTGGCAGTTTTTGGGCAGATGGCGGGAGTAGTGGCGGGCTGCTATAGGGTTGGGAGGTGGGCTGGTAGCAGCAGGAAAGTAGAGGACAGCGGTCTGCTAGATGCAGGAAGAAGCTGGACAGCGACCTGCAGGGGTGCAGGGAGGACGGACGAATAGATAAATATCTCAGCGGGGTCAAGATACAGCCAGATCACTACTCAGACCCTTGGAGATGACCACCACCTCAGACGAGGGACAACCGAAGCACTTCCTCGAAGTCGGATATAGCTCTCTAAGGAAAAAACTCTAAGATAAAACCTAAATACAGATATCAAAAACAAGACCCTCAGCTCTAAGCATATCATCGCATATTTATAAAAAGGCTTGACTTATTTTAGGCAATGAAAATAAGGAAGAAGAATAAAATATAATCATGTTTACAAATTTTAGGAAAGGATTTAAAATAGAAAAGGATTTAAAGTAATAAATGATTTAAAATAAGAAGGGAGAATAAATATAATCAAGATTTCAGATTTTAGGAAGGGTTTAAAATAAGAAGGGAGTTGTATATAGAGGGAGATTCCCGTAATGCAACTCTTGAGCCCTTACATTTGAAATCTTCTTCTTCGAGTTCTCGTGCCTAGCATGCGATAGTTGAGTAATAAGTATGTGAGGAGAACTCAATTATGGAATGAAATGTGTGACAAGCTGTGTCACTCTCACTCGCACCCACTCAAGAGAGACCTCCTCCCCATATATGGGACCTGGATCCCATTGCAGAATTTTTGTCCTCATCAAGTCCTTCAGGCCCACTACAAAGTTGGGATTCATCTCTTTTGTCAAGACATCTGGCAATAATGGGTACCATGTTGTACTAAAAATAACCTCTGAATAATCCAACGTAATATTTCCGACATGGCACAAAATGACTCCTCTTCGGACCATATTGGACCTCCCCCCCCATAGGGATAACTCAAAATGAGGTCTAAACATTTGAAAAGGTTGTATTTCTTGTATTTTTGGTGGCCCTATATCTGATGTCTACCCTCAAGCTCGTGACCATTCTGGACCGCCAAGGCCAGTCTTGTTGTAGCTCCTCTCAATGCCTATGAAACGGTATCTGGAGATATCACAGTTTCATACTCTACTTGAACGCTCATTGCATCAAAGTCAGTACCTTCCAAAACGGCTACTATTACCTCAGGTGGAATCTCTATCTCGAAATCCACCAGAACTAGTAGTGTCTCTTCCTCGCTAGTTGCAAGTGGAGAATCCTCCCAGAAGTCTTCAACTTCTCCCATATCAATTGTGTCATTGCCCGATTTTTCAACAACATCATGCTCAATGAAACAAATCTCACCCCCTAATTATGCATTTTGATTCCACATACTCAAATCCATAACACTTGTAACATTTTCTGGTTGTGACAGACTTGCGGATTGATTTCATTGGATAGTAGGCAGGTGGGGTCGCTTGGTGTTGCGGTCTCTCCATTTCAGAATCTAGGAGTTGTAACTTTTGGCGGTAGTAAGTTGGAAGAAACTAGCGTTGTATTTCCTGCTTCACCTTAACATCTTGTTCTTTCTTTTAACCTTCCAGATCACGGTCGAGGGTAACCTCCTGCTGGATTTTCTCTTCAACATCTTGAAGTCTCCGCTGAAGACGGGCGGAGCTCTCGCCGTATCACTTCCCGAGTAGGCTCGGGCATATATCTCATTAGTGGCATGACTAAGGTTTATGGTTGGGAGGCTAAAAGATGGTGCATGGGACTAATTGAAGGTGTATAAAATTTGATTTGAGAATGTTGATTTTGAAAATCAGCGAAGAGAATTTATGGATTGGTTTGGAATGGGAGGTTCAGGGTAGAAAAGAAAATTTTCTGGCGAGGGGTAAGACCGACGCTAGGAAACCCTAAGATAAAACTAGGGTTGGGCTAGCTCTAATATCAAATGATACCGAGGGAAAAAAACACAAACCATAAAAGAAACTTTTATTAATAGAAAAAGAGGGTTACAACACAAACTGAAAATAACATCACCAAAACACAAAAAGACACAAACGGAGACCTCGAGAGTGTGTCCCAAGGGTCGTGGAAGTTGGTTGGAAGGTGGGGTAGCAAACCAGAAACGAGGAACAGTAGCTAGGAGTAGAGGGACAACAGTTGGGATCGTAGGAAAGTAGAGAACAGCAGCATGCTGACTGCAGAAGGGGGTTGGATATCAGTCTACAGTAGTGCAGTGAGGAATTGAAGGTGATATGGCAGGTTGGGAAGCAGTTGGTCGTCTGGGTAGAGGGCAGCAGTCTGCTACAGGGTTTGGAGGTGGGCTGGTAGCAGCGGGAAAGTAGAGGACAGCGGCCTGTTAGATGCAGAAGTGTGCTCCACAGCGACTTGCAGGGGTGTAGAAGACAGACGGACAGGTAAATAACTCGGCGGGGTCGAGATATAGCCGGAGCACAACTCGGACCCTTGGAGACGATCACCACCTCGGACGCAAGACAGCCGGAGCACTTCCTCGACGTCGGATACAGCCCTCGAAGGGAAAAACTCTAAGATAAAACATGAATTCAGATATCAAAAACAAGACCCTAAACTCTAAGCATATCATCTCATATTTATAAAGAGGCTGGACTTATTTTAGGTAATGAAAACAAGGAAGGAGAATAAAAATACAATCATGTTTTCAGATTTTAGGAAAGAATTTAAAATAGTAAAAGATTTAAAATAGGAAGAGAAAACAAAATATAATCGTGATTTCAGATTTTAGGAATAGTTTAAAATAGAAGAGGATTTAAAATAAGAAAGGATTTTAAAACAAGAAGAAAGAATAAAAATCATATTTCAGTTTTAAGAAAGCTTTTAAAATAGGAAAGTGCTATGAAAGAAAATAAGAAAGAAATAAATAAAGGAAAAAGGAAAGGAGGAAAAAGGGAAGGGGGCGGAAAGGGAAAGGAGGGAAGAGGAAAAAGGAAAACCCCCATGTCAATGATCCAAACCTCAAGTAAGATAGTGCCATCATCTTAAGCTGCTCAAACACAAGTAGATTCCGTAAACTAACGTCGGCCAAGAAATTTGATTTATTTACACAATATTTGATAATAAATAGCATGAAATGAGATTAAAATATAGAAAACTTACTATTGAATCTTCTTAAACCAAACACTGCAAATGTAAATGAAAACAAAGAGCAAGTTGGGAAAAAAACCATCTTACCCACTCTGGACATTCATCATTGTCAAATTGCATGTCGTATGATAAAAATCACCAGAATGTTGCAACATCTAAAAAACTTTCCTTGGCTCACTCCCCAGACCAAGTACTTAAACAAAATTACCTTAGTTTTCAAGCATTCAACATGAATTTCTGGTATTAGTTACTGCAATTTTATCAAGTTCAGTGATAATGAATTTCATGCTACAGAGCATTATAATGATTTAAAAGCAAGACACTGAGAGTAAAACTTACAGAACTCATACATAATTAAACTTTGAAAATCAATAAAATAAGTAGGCGTAATTTCTGATGTGGTTTAATTATGGTAGTATGACCAGAGAGTAAATCAAATTGATAGTAAAACTTCTGTAACGCCTAATAAAACAAAAAGCATTTACTTGTATTCAAGTAGTAGCCATATGAAAAGCTAAGTTGATAATAAATTTAAAAGCTATTGACAAATGCTGCCTTTAGCAAGAATGAAATTTTGAATATCAGCCATAACGCAACAGTTTCACGTACTACCAACCATGCACAATCCAAAAAGTTGAACGAAAAAAAAAAAATACCTCTTCACATGTTAGCATGGTATTTGTCAACCAAACTTTGTAAAGCCTGCCACCAGGTGAAAAGAGGAATCATGAAATGTCAGCACTAGATGCAAGAAAAAACCTAGTTTCTCTAACAAATAGAAAATATCACTTAACCAGTACTTTTCTGAATGACGTAAACAATATAAACTAATAGACAAAAGAAAATTCTTAAGTTCGAGAGATGATTATCAATAAGGAAGGTGAGTACATAGTGGAGTGGTAGTGGCCAAAACATGCAGTGTATTATAAGTCGTGACTTGATGATCAATACATTTTGTAAACGCCACCATTACTAACCAATAACCATCAAATGATCACAGAGTAGAGAAGCATGGTCTATACTTACCTCATAACAAAAAGGGTCAGACTTGACAGCTGCTATGTACCTTAAAACAAACATCAAGCGAAACTGGATTAGGACATGTGTCAAAAAAAATAGCTAAACAAAAATACAGTAGTAAGCCAAAGCAATGACCTAAAACGGATGTAAACAGCATAATAAATAAACACTCCAATATATTATAATACAAAGCTAAGCCCAGTTAAGAGCATTGTCATTAAATGCCAACTAGATGATGAAGGGCTCATGCACCATGATTTGCTACTATTGTCAATGCAACGAAATTTTAAGTTCTGAAAAAAATAAGGGTCCCATGAGACGGTTAGCACCAGAGTTGAAGAGTTAACAAGTCGGGTGAAGGAGTCTGTATTGTAAATAAATCTCAGCGGTGTTTGTTCCCACATAACTCATGGCCTTGGCCATACCATTAGGGAAGAAGGTAGGATTACAATTTAACTATCACAACGTCAAAGATCAGGAGGAAAAATGGTCAAAGCTAGAATGGGAGTATCATAACTAATCAATGCATTTGCAGATAACTATTACAACTCCCAAAGTTCCCCGCACATTGTTTTTGAGTTAGCAGGGAAGTAGAAAATGAATTGAAGAAAAACTCCAAGCAATAAGCATTAAAGATAAGGTTTAGGATTGTGTTTACAAAAAAGTCCAGAATAAAAACATTAAAATGCCTAAATAGCTTCCACCTATTATGAACCACACTCAATAAGCATTCTCGCCACCTTTTCTTCATCTTCCGCTATTACCTCATTGGCTCATAAGATACCTATTACCAATTCATCAATCTGTGGAATATACAATTAATCTCTAATTATTATTCTACCTACTCATCAATTGGTAAACTCTTGTAATTATCATAATTATTATGTTTCTTGTTAAAATACCTCCTTCAATTGTATAAATGTTACACAAACGTTTAAATAACAGAATCAATGAATTCTGTCCAATTCTTCTTAAGGCATCAAAGCCCTAAGCATTTTCACTTTCTGGTATTTCCCTTTCAACGGAATTCATCACTGCATTACTACAATCCTACGCCTTTCATTGCTACACTTTCATCCTTTTCCCCTATTTTTTTCATTACTGCATCCTTCATTGCTGCACTACAGCAAAAATTTTCCATTTGAACTATATTGCCCCAAATTAGTCCTATTGCTATAGCATTTATTGTTGAATTGCTACAAACATGCCTTATTGCAGCTTTAATCATTGCACTGCCATAAGTCGATCAAATTGTTGCAGCCTTCATAAGTGCATTGCTATAATAATAATACCTACATATCATTGGTCTCAAATTCTCTTAAAATTTAGGCATACAAACTAAATCTAATGGGAGAGTTACAAAACAACCATTTAACATATGACAGAATAAAAAAATCAAAAATTGTTGTGATTGGCTTGTTGATTCTTAAAGGGAAGAAAAACATTAAGTATGTCACAAAAAGATAAAAAGACTTAACTATAAGCACTTAAAAGAATATCAACAATAGGTACTTGGAGAAGAATAACATTAAGTCACAAAAAAAATAAAAAAACTTATCATGAGCACTTAAAAAGAATATCTACAATAGGTACTTGTACTCTTAACATTTTCAAGCATAACCTTATAATATTTGTGAAACACTATAGCCAACCATACATTCGGAGGATAAAGGCTTGTTGTTAAATGTTGTTATGGCTTTAAGAAAAGCCTCCGCATGACCAATCTATGTTAAAGAAGTTATCATAATAGGTAATGACATCAAAGAAATGACGAATTTAAAGAAAAATTTTGCTCAGATAATTTCAAATTAAATAATCGAACAACCTAAAATATTTCCTTGGCAGGAAATTTATACACACTCGACATAAAATCTTCAACTCAAAAGAAATATATATATATATATATATATAGATATATAGAAAGAGAGAGAGAGAGAGAGAGAGAGAGATACAATTTTGAATTCGGAAATAGCCATGTTTGGAAATAAATAGGTCAAGTGCCATGTGAGATTTTATAAATTTGAAAATGTTTCATAAGTCACAATATTTAATAAAAAAAAAATCTATACTACAACGGTGAAAGGGCTTTCCTACAAGTCATATACTAGACCTAACATTACTTAAATTTTTGGGGTGACATTTCAATTTATATACAATGATAAATCTATGGAATCACATGTTAGAATAGTATTATGTAGCAACGACACTTATAAAACCATGTCGGACACGTATCGGAGACCAATACTTGTCTGAAAGCCCCAACAGGCTCCAACAATTGTACAACACTACAGAATATGTGTCTGAATTATTTTCAGGCCCAAACACATCTAAGATACATCTCGACATTGCATCGAACATGAGCTTAACATGACTTTGGAAAAAATGGAACACGATAAACAGAAAATTACATATAGCCCCTAATTATACCTCATAGTCGAATTTGCATCTTCTCTCACTATGTCAAAGCTCCCTCTAATATTTGTCAAAATCTAGCATAGAAGGTGCATCCAATATTTATCAAAACCAAGTATGAGTAGTTCCTTCTTTGTTTGTCGAAGCTACGCATAAAAAATTCATCCTACATTCGTCAAAGCCGAGCATTGTAATTCTCTTTTGTTCATCAAAGTTGAACCTACACCCGCTAAAGCAGAAGTCGTAAGCTTCTTCATCGCAACATGAGCAGAAGTCAAACATGTCTGTTGAAGTCCATCTAAACATCCTGCAAACTATGTGACGCTTGCAATGAAATTTCTATCCATCGAAGCCTAGTGGAGTCAAAGCACCTTAATTTCGTAAGTGATAATTTATAATTTTTTTCACTCTTTAATGAGATAATAGTTATAAATCAATATTCAAAAAATTCGATGTGTCCATCTTGAAGCGTGCCTCAAATCGAGACACTTGAGCAGCGACTCGAAGCGTAAGCCTTGTTGCGTGAGTGAGGCTTAAGCCTTTCTGCGATGAGGCGTTTTCCACTCGGCATTTACGCCTCGAATCCTACGAGCTGTCAAAAAAAAATTACTTAATTTAAATTAGACACAGCAGTCATATCGCACAATTTATTGTTGGAGCATTGTTCTAAGAGCTTGTTGCTTCTTCCTCACGCTTCGTCCTAAGGCTTCGAGTGCATCTGCATCCAAGAAATGTCTGATTGTTGAAGTTCAGCGTCATCTCAAGCGTCGAAGCTTCTGCATCTTCTTCATCTCAAGCTTCGAAGTCCCGTAGAAGGTTTTTGGGTCTTTTGTGTCCCGATTCGTCATGTTTTGTATCTGTGTTCCATCCACTATAGAAGTTTAGCATCTGTGTCGACTTCCGTCCCAAGCCTTCTGCATCCCGAGCCTCAAAATTGGGTGACATGTATCTAATTTCCTGTTATAGTATATGTACTTTATGGTTTATTAAATTATTAGATTTATAAATAGTTGTAAACTAATTTTAGAGGGATTTACTCATTTAAATAAATACCAACCAATTCTTATTAAAGTTTAGGGTGCTAGATAAGAAAATAAAAAAGAATTGGGTGGCATGTATGTATATCAGCTTAATATTAATTACAAATATGTAATTCCTCAAAAGTTTTTCAGGGTGTGATATATATATATATATATATTGGTCACTTAGGCCTTGCCTTTACAAAGAAAAAATGTTTCAAATATTGTTATAAATCAATACATATTCTAATATTAAAAGTTAAATTTTAACTTAATTAATTAATATAGTATTGTATTTTAAATTTTTGTAGATAAATTGGAGGAATTCTTTTGAAACATATTATACGTCTAATTTTAAAAATTAAAATTTATAAGCATGAGGTTTCATATTATAAGTTACATTTATAAAGTTAAATTTTATTATTGCTTACTTTATTTTGTGATGATTTTAATAAAGAACAATGAAAAAATATATTTTTTATATTAATAATTAATTAAATATTAAACAATGTTTACCAAATGTCGGGCCCTATTTTGTTTTAATTATGTCATGTCTTCGTATTGTGTCGAGTCGTGTCCGTGCTTCATAGGAATAATATATATTATATTGAACTCCATAATATTTAAAGGAAAATTTAGGCAAAGGAACACTAAAAAATGAGGAATTGGTTCTTGAAAAACACACATGCAGATTATATAGATTTTATGGTTAACAGGTCAACTAATGTATATTCCATATTCTTAAGAGATAATCATGACTTGGATTAGTAGAACATGAATATATATATATATATAATTTGCTATGGATAAAAACTAGGATTAAAGATTTAAAGAATGAATGGAAAGAACATATGAGACTCTATTATAATAGCAAGTTTGTCATCATTAGTGCAAATAATCCCATTTAACATTACCGTACAAAGCATAATGAAGTTGATGGTCAATTTTTAAAAGAGAAGCTTGGCAGGAGTATAATTTTTACTCTTTTACAATCCACAAACGAACAATGTGTTAGCATTCTCACCATAGAAATATTAGAGGCGGCCTTTAAAAAAAAATCAAGCAAGTTCCTTTCAAGTTTGGAATGGATGACATCCATTCATTTGCTGAAGAGTGTCATTCATTTGCTTAAGAGTGTTAAAAGCACGCAAAATTTTTGCCATCAAGAGCCCACATTGATCAGGGCTTCTACCCACTTTTCTTTTTCTTCTGCTACCACTCATTGATTTGTGGGGTCCCTACTACCAACTCATCAGGTCATGGACCACTGTTATCATTTTGTGAATATAATTTTACCAACGCATTAATTCGTATACTATTATAATTATTCTCTAATTATTAGGCTTCCTACTAGAACTTAAAGGATTCTAGAAATACTACACAATGTTGGTATGAAAGACTCATCTTAAGGAAATAATCATAAATGTTGACCTTAATCATTTATTAGTACTATTATCCAGTCCTCAAGTGCCCCCTGTTCGCAATTATTGGCAATCAAAACACAAATATCTATATATATACTAAAATATCATAATTGGGGAAAAGCAATTTCATCACATTTAACAAACAAAATTCATACCATGGTCATGTCAAGGTCAATCCAAAATTAAATGCAAAACAAACCTATTTAATGACAACCTATCTAACAAGATAAAAAAAAAAAAAAGTTCCCTCGCCATGAAAAGTATAAATATAAGCATAATAGACACATGTCAAGATTAACTTACGACATCCTTTCAATGTTGAGTCAAGTCCTCTAAGGCTTTCCGTTAGGAAATCTTGATGGTCTTAACAATAAGAAAAGGACTTCGAATGGAAAAGCTCCACAAACTTAATCTTGCATAACATAGCTTTTCACCATATAATTCTATGTACCCCAATCCAACTTACAGAGTTAAAGCTCAAAAACTTTGGTAAATCCAACACGCCTCAAGAAAGGAGGTTAGAACCTCAAAATTTCATGCGCTTAGTCCATTTACAAACTTAATTCATATCATAGAGTTCTAGATAGCCAAATCTAGCCTAAAACAGTAGAATTTAGGTTAAGGACAGCACACATACCTTTATCTCTACCTTTTTTTAAAGATTGTTAAGATGTATTTTTGTCTATAGAACCAATACAACGCAACTTTAGTTACTACTCTAACAAGAGCCTCGTCCTCGTATGCTATTATGCAATTGAGCCTCAAAGAAAAATAAGGATATAATTTTACCAGCATTGAGCATGAAATTGATATAAGAGAAAGATAAAAAATATATTGGGGCATTGATGGAAGGCAGCAGAAAAAGTTCACCATAATCTTGCTTGGATACGGTTCTCCAAAGCTTCGAAGGCCTTGCCACGTAAATAACAAACTGCTGCGGTAATCTGCCAGAGCATGACTAAAGTTTGAGCTTAATGTTCAAAAACCAGCATCAAGTAATATTTTCAGCGCCAATCAAGCCACAAAACATGGAAAAATATAATCATGAGCCTTAAATAGTATGCTGAACAAAGCAACAATGTAGTTAACATGGCAGAAATAATTCAGTTGATTAAATAGTCATAGAAACAAGCAGATTCTGCAAATGACTTTAAAATTTTGAGCTGGAGTTTTAACAAAGATTTGTGCAGTCAGGTAAACCAGATAAGAAATAGATAGGTGGCACAGGCTTCTGCACTCAAAAAGGATTGAGATCATACAATCATCAAACTAAATTATTGAGTACCTTGTAGATGAGTTTTAGCCATTCACATTAGGTTAGATTTTCACTTTGCCAAGTAATAACTTAGTTTGACATTAATCTCCAACCAACCTAGTGACTCGATAATTTAATGATCTTATTTTCTATTTTTTTTATTATTTTGGCAAAAAATGTCTATAATGGGGCCAACTTAGTTTCCGACATTACTATTTCATGCTACGAGGTTTTCTGCTACATTCCATCTTAGTCATTATTATCACTGTTATTGCCTCTATTGCCAACTAGTCCTACTATTAGAAGTATCTGTTACCTAATATCCAATTGTTGCCTATGTTATTTGCAAATGCTGCTGTTGTTGCAGCTGCTTCCTTTTGACTCCTAGTTGCCCCAACTGCCTGCTTTGACAATGTTCACTTTCCTATTTCGGCATTTCTAAGAGTCAATGATAAATTCGATTCTACGAGTCAAGAGCTAGAATTTCTATGGGAGATTTGATGTTACCAGAATTCATGAGGATGTATTGAAATCTGTGCACTTGATTAGATATTGACAGATTCAGAGATGTTTTTTATATTAGGTTTTTAATAAGCCATAAATAAAACCTCCAAGGCATGTAAAAATCACTAAACAGAGAGTATTGAAATAGAATTTCAGTTTTTTCAATTCCTGTATGTGGGCAGGTTGGATGAGTTTTCTTGTACCGATGAGGTATCTGGTTCTTTCTTCCGGGTAATTTCTATCATTATTTTTGCTTTAATTTTAGCTAATGGCTTGTGCATGGGAATGAAATGTTTTCATGTGCTAAACAAGTCGGATTTATTCATATTACAACTGCAATCATTGCTAAAATTTTATGCTTGTTTAATGCCTTCTAGTAAATTTCAAAACTTGCCACTTATTAAATCATTGATTGATAACAAAAAAGCATGCGGTGCGTTTTGACATTTAAATAGGCTGATTTTTGCTACAATTTAGAGGTGTTGACTTGAGGATTGTAGTTGTTTGTTAGTTTTCAGTACGCATCTCAAACTAGATTGCATTAGGAAACCCTAGCCACAACCTTACATCAGATTAATATATGGGCCTATGAGTACGTCATTATATTCTTTAAAGAAATCATACTTAGGTTAATCAGAGATAAAATGTAGACGAGATCGAATAAGTCATTATTTTGAACAAATACAATGTAACAATCGAGAGAATCAAAACTGTGTATCTACAATCAATGAGAGGCATAACCTACAGATATTTCCAAAATGGATCAATAATTTGACCAAAGATGTAATGTTGTATGAACTTTTCTTGTTATTAGTGCAGGTTGGCTTCCTTTATTTTCCTTAAAATATATTTTATAAATTAATATTTATTTATTACCTTTGGCCAAAAAAAAAATTGGCAATCGTATTCCAACAATAACCCTAAAAAGAATCGTTATCTTTTTTTTTTTTCTTTTGAAACTTATCAAATATTTGCCAACACAAAAATCATGCATGGTTAAAATTGATCATATTTAAGAAATTGCAGTTCAAGAGTATCATTTTGAAGAAGAATTAGATGAATACCTTCTGTTGTAATTGAATTCATTTAATGTTGTGGAGCCAAAATTTGCAATTGCATTAGATATATTACTAAAGAGCAAAATCCCGAAATTGAAATCGAGTTTGAGCATCAAACTAAGCCTCATTAGAATAAGAACATGCCATTCAAATTGAACCTGAAACAATAATTAGCAGCCTGCAGATTGTGATTTTTTTTTTGTATGCATGAATTAAGCATGTCATCCAATGATGCATTTATGAACCCCAGATTTTTAACCTTCATGCATACATGTTACAATTGTTCCAAATTTATGCTGCATTTATATTGGGAAATCAAGTTTAGATAATAACTTCACATTATATGCAACTTCAATTTAACTTAAGAACTTGAAAAAAGCTTATCGTCTCAATTTGTCACAAAAAAAAAAATAATTCATTATGTTGAAGAAAAATTCAATTAAAACATTGTTGCAATGACATCTAAAGCCAATTATTTTCATTATTCTTAAAACTAAGGACAACTAAGATATTGTTGAATAAAATCATTTTTAAAATAATTTTAATGTGCTTACATTAGAGATAGATAAATTAATAGAAGCTCATGGGTTCTGCAGAAAACTTCGAAATTTTGATGAAAAATGGAAACTATGATTAACAGCGGTATAATCATCAAAGCTCGTTTTTTTTCTTAAAATAGAAAGCCATAAAGTGCTACCATCACAACCCCACAAGAGCATTTGGGAGAAGAATCAATGCTTAAATTCTGCAATGAACAATAAGCGAGTCTTACGTTGATTTCACGATCCTCTCCATCCTTGTCCAAGTACATAGGACTGCAATCCTTCGGGCAATTCACGTTTCCGTGTTCATCCACTTTGGCATCGCCCAGCATCGTCAAGCACTGGTGCCATTCTTTTAGCTCCTCCTTACCAAAAGAACAAAGCATTTAATTTTAATACATAGCGCCGTCAATTGGTGGATAAACAACTGCGGTTTTAAAATGTACGAGGCATTTGGCAGCGAGGTAGCGGAAGCGCAGGTCACGAAGGACGATGGAAGAGGAGTTCAGTAGGTGAAGGGCCCGGCGGTACTGGCCTCCAAGAAAGAGAGCCTGAGCCTGCATGTAAATGTCGGCGGGATCAGAACTTGCCTCAGCCACCTTGTCGGCGAAAAAGATGGCTGAGGAATAGAGATGCTTGCTAAGGCAGTCCCTCACCAATCCCCTCAACCGCTCCACCTCGTCCTCCTTCATCATCTCCCCACTATAATAATCTTGGTCCGGCTCGTTCTTCCACTCGCGCTGGGCTCTCTTCTTCCCTTACGATAAAGCCTCAGCACTGCCTGAGAAATCAAAAATGAGAGAAGGCGCAAAGATTTTCGGGATTAGGTTAAGAAGAAAAACGGGCAGGCGCTCGGCCGGGACACTGACCCTGGACCCGGCCCGGCGAGATCGGTCACGGAGCTAATATCTGCGCCAGGATTTTAAACTTTGCATGAGCCCAGTTGGCACAGGTGAGGATTTATAACCTTAGCTTTTAAGGAATACGCGAGTACAGCTAAAAAGGTGCTCTCCCGCGCGAACCGCAGTTTCGCGCGCTGTTTCATCTTCTTCACTCGTGCGTGTGAGACGCTTGATTTCGGAGGGCTTACATTCACATCTCTGGTTGGCATGAGAATAAATTTAGATGGGCGAGAATTACGGTTGCACAAAAAATTGCTACTGATGGCCGGGATCACGGGCGGCGATGCTTAAATCTTTTGGGTTTTTACTTGACCACTATCAAAAACCTTAAAAATAACTTAGTATTTCATTCTAACCACCCTAAACCAATCCACCCTTCTTTTTAGCCACTCCATTGTACGCCCCTCCCACTCCATCTCCCTTCATGGGGTTTAGCATTGACGTCATCTCCCTCCGTCATGGGTTCTCCCATGGATTCTTCTAGTTGTCGAGAGACCCAAGTTGCTCCTTCCAGCATGTTCTCTCATCAGTCAGAACCCTCACCCACCTTTTTCTTTCCTCGTCCCACCCTTTATCGAAACCCTCACAATAGAGTGACAGCTAAACCCACATCTTCTTCTCGTGCTTCCTCTCTCTTTATTGAAATGCTCACAAATTCCCTCAACAGTATGTGCTTCATTGTCTACGGAAAACTAAGGTAATGTGTCTAGCGGGATTTGAGAGAAATAATAGTGAAAGACAACTTTAAGCTAATTTTTTAAGTTCTTCATCGTTGTTCTATTTTAAAATATATATTGTTATTTTGAAAACAATTAGCCTTAGTAATACATGAGTGAGTCTTCCCTATGCTGTGAAAGAGTTCTTCTTCATTCCCTTGCAAGTAAAAGGTGTGTTTTTGGGCCATATAGACCAACATAGTAGTTTTTCCTTGAGATTTTTTTAATTAACGCTTTGGCCTTTTTAATATCATAATGTCACGTTAGCCTTTTTTCCTGAATGCCTGGATCACCTCGCTTAAAAATGTTGGGGAGCTTGCTTGAATGATTGAGTATCCTTACTTTCTTGCTCATCTCTCCTCCTCCTCACACCACCCCACTTAATAACTGATCCTGACACAATATTTGTGTGCTTAGTATGTAATACTTCAATTTCAAACTCAGACAAAGGCGCCAAAAACTTGACTCTCACTGCCCATATGTGATTCCACTCTTAATTCTCGACTGAGTGTTATTTAACAAATAATCCTCATTTTTCTCCATAATTCAATTTTACACGGTTACTACACAAGTGCATGTATCAGTTATATAGGACTTTCTCTTAATTCAAAAGTATCTATCCCAAAAAGAAGAAAAAAAATTTTTATCGACTTAGTAAAACTCTACTTAAACTACGGGTAACTTATATAAGAATTAAGGTTGAAATTGTATAAAGAAATAATTAATTCCTACAAATTCTATTTCCAAACTTAAAGAAAATGCTAAAGGTTTTTAAACTAGTTTTATGTAGAAGAGTTCAGATTGTATGAAAATCCTTCTCATTGCAATGAGATTTTAATCAGCGTGAGAATCAAATGTTTATAAATTTAGAATGTAGTTTTGAGCCAAATAGAAACATGCATATTTCTTACCCTCTTCCGAGTGCGTAATGAACATTGGCTAACCTAGAGTTAAGTTTCTAAATCCTTAGTTATGTTGGGTAGGCTCTAGCCTATCACCTTAGAGTACCCACATTAGCCCTCAATTAGAGCTAACCTTGCCTTATGTTCCAATCTCTATATCAAATTGGTTAAGGTTCTAGTCTGTCACCCTAGAAACACCAATTTACACCCTTCAAATCTTATCTCGTTATCTATTTGCACTCACCCCAAGATTACTTTTTCTTCACCCTAAAGTTTTCTTCTTCACCCTAAAGTTTAGTGTGGTAATTACTAATTGAGGAAAAGCATAGCCCTCCTGGGTTATTACGTTTTCACAATACATTTTAACTTATGAATTGGTCAAATTGCATAAGCAAATTAAGCATGATGTAATATACCATCACAACATTGAAATAAAAGCAATTCTAAACATTTTCTAATCCTACCATGACTATCTCTCATCACAAGGAGAAAGATGAATAAAACTACTCAAATTTCATGGGGAAAATTCAACAATACGTGGATTGATATTTAAAATCAGGTTTACTACATAAACTTTAACAAACTTAAACAAAAACACAAAATACTTATCTCAAACCTCTCCACAAACAAATTTTTTAAAGTTCATTGGAAGAATTATTAACTCTCCTTACAATATTACTACAATCGACACACCCCCTCACCTTAAGAGACGCACCAAACACACACCTTCCTTCCACTCAACAACCCTACAACAATCTCTTCAATCCAACACACCCAACAACTACTTCTATTACTTGAAGAGACACCCCCTTATAATAAACCTTGAAATCTCCAAGAGTCGCTTCAGAAGCCTCTTTAAAATTTATCCAAATACATTTTATCTAAAAAAAACAGATTTTGGCGCCTAGGCGCCAGTCTTTTAGAAGCTTGAAATAACTGCCTCACACCTAGGTGTCAGATCCTAGCGCCATGGCACCGAGCTCTCTATTTCTATGTATAGGGACTAGCGCTTAGGCGCCAGTTCACTTTGTGCTCCTTTGCTTCATTTGACCTGGCTCTATTTTCACTCTTTTTTCTCCAAAACTCCATCTCTTGTACCTGAAACTAAAAACACACAAAATTCATTCCATTAAATTGTAATATCATTAAAAATAAACATAAAATGTATATAAAAAAGTAGCACATTTTTAAGCATGTCAATAACACCAACGACCTTCAAGGAGTTTCACTTTAATGGTCCTAGAACTCAAACGTAATTCATTGTGCCCTTATTAGAACTTATTAATGGATCATATTCTAAGCAACATTTTAGGAAGTTTTTTTCTGAACTTTTTTCTTTTTTATTAGTATTTTGGTACATTTTATTGTTTAGTGATCATATATCCATGATGCTATAGTACTTCAATATTCTCTGTATAATGACAACTTCACTTACGATTTTTTCAGTTTCTATGGTATCTAATTCATAGCATTAAAAGGCACAGTTCAACTTAAAATCAGATAGTAATTAATACACCAAAAATATATGCATTTTTAGACCCATATTTTATACTCATTTTTGGTAATGTTGCACTTTAATGGAAGATATTTTTGTGTTTTATTGCAGGCTGTTGATTTTGAGGACTTGGAGCAAAAATAATGAAATTTGGAGTCAAAATGAAGAATTAAAAAAATTGGTCTGTGTTGACGGCGTCGTTTGACAGAGAAGAAGGAATTAATTAGATGGCCTCTGACGCCAAAATGGGCGCCGATGGCGCCAGTGTCGGTGCAGACCCTATTTTTAGAAGATTTGACGAATTTGAAAAATTTTTGAAGATTTTTTAGATGCACCTATTGAAGAACCAACCTAGGCTCTATTTAGGGCCGAAATTTGATCAGAACCCCCCCCCCCCCCCCCCCCCCTTTTCTTCTTTTTTGAATTGTTCCACTAATTTCAGTTTTCCCCTTCACATTTCTTCATTCAATGTCATTCTACACCATTAGTTAATTATTGTTTTTATAGTTTTGAGTTTTTGTGGCGAGTTTAAGTGTAAATTCTTCTCTAAGAAGTGTTGTAGAGGAAGAGAAGTGAGAGATTTCTTCTTCCTACATTTCCTAAGAGAGGCTACAAAGGTTTTATTTTGAGAAAAAGCTTCAGATAAGTGTTGTTTATTTATTATTGTTGTATGAACTTTCTTTATATATGAAATTTGTGTTTTGATGTATCTTTCATGTATCTTTCGAGTAGTTTCCTTTATCTTTCTCCCAACTCTGAGATATGGTGAAATGAAGAAATAATGTGGATGTATCAATGTTAAAATAATGTGGGAAGAAATAATGTGGATGTATCAATGTTAAAATTTAAAATAAATTGTAATGGTTTTTAAAATATGCTCTTAATTTTCTTTTTGATCTTACCAATTGAATTGTTAAAATATGTTGTGAAATATATGATCCGGGAAATGAAGTATGAGTTTTACAACAGAGTGGGAATCACATTTAAGTCCATGAATGAGTATTTCATTCATGGAATTAAGTGCAAATAAATAGCTAAATATACTTTGTTGGGTGTAGAATTAGAGATTTCTAGGGTGACAGATAAAAAATCCCCAATTCAATCTTAGTGTTTAAAAATTAAAGCGAGAGTTAGCCTTCAGGGGAGCGAAAATGGGAGCTCTGGAGTGGGAGTCTGTATCCTCCTAACCTAGCCACAGATTTAGGGATTAAACCTAAGACTAGCCAATAATTTTCTATAACACTTAATCAGGGTGGAGAATTAAAATTACTCATATTTGACAAAATACAAACTTAAACCAATTATCTCATCTCATTTCACTAAAAATTCATTATGGTGGGAAAGATGTTTTTTCATATTAGAAAATTTCATCACATAAACATAATTTAGTAGTTATTAATTTTAAACCCTATTTTTAGATTCTACTAATAATTAATAATTTAGCTTTAATAATATCTTAAACATTTGAAATTAGTGATAGTAGTTTCATTTGATTTCTGTGAATTTTCTAGTTAATTTCTCATTTCAAATTTAAACCTTTATCGTGTGATTGATATTTGGCACTTAAAAAAAAGTCTTATATTACTTAATAATGATATGTATACTTACGTAGAATACCAACATTAAGTGCTGAACATTATTATTCATATTATTATTCATAAAATACCAAGTTTTTGGCATCGTTGTAAAGCGGAGTCAACTTTATAAATTTTACACAACTATATTTCAGCAAATTCACATCAAGTTTTTTATGTCGTTGTCAGGGAAGGTAATGATAAATTAAATATATTTGATTCAGAATTAGAACGTATTATTGAAAAATTTTGAAAATAACAAATAGAA